AAACTTTTCCCGGAAACCTTAGTTCGGCTTGGGCAGAAACGTTACTCTCTGACCAAATAGTAAAGATTCGAAAGGTTTGCGAGAAACATTTGTTTCTGGCTAACAAACAAACTCGCATCCGCCCCTTGCGCCAGAATAAAGCACATGATTTTTGCGAACAAGTGTGGAGGTTGCAGCATTTGCAAATGAAAACTTCATAGCCAAGCTACTGTGTCTCGGCAGACAAGTTTGGTGAACGTCAAGAACTACCACGAAAGGCCGGCACAACATTGTGTGAAACACATCCTTTATCCAGATACCTAGAGCAATCCTGTATCAACTTTTCAGTGTTTTGCTTCATACCCAACTGAGAGTGGAACAGGAGCCTCTCGCTAAGCCAAGGGTGGCACAAGGATGTAAGACCATGCGGTCACACGAGTCACCATCTGGTTGGTCTTGCAGACCTGGCTCTCGCATCGTACTAAGACAGGAGAATGCAAGAAGGAAGTCGAACAAGCAGTTTAGCAACCTCACATCCAGGGCGAAACAAATTCAAGGAAATTGAGCTCTTATGCAGGTGCAGACTGTCGTTGGGCCCTGGCCGATGTGGCACATGTCCGTGAGATGTCTGCGAAGTCACGGCACCAGTTGAACTCTCCACCTGAACACACTTTCATCCAAACCTTGGGTCTTTCTCCGATCAACAACACAAACAAAGCTCGGATTGTTGCTTCTGTTGTCGCGAATGCACTACGATTCGCCAAATGAAAGCACTGTTGCTCGGCTGTCTGCCCCGATGAGCACGGGTATCTCCCGACAGGGGGCCCGTGAGGATGAGATGCCATCAGCCCTTGCGACCCAAGCTGGTACACGACAAAGTTTTGCAGGCTCGCGGCAAGAAGTAAGGCCGTGCTGACAGTACAAGCCGACAATGGGCGATCGCGAACCTTGCCAACACAGCGGCATAGTGGGCGCCCCTCCGCAAGCATACCTTTACCTCTACCTTTTACCTTTACCTTTACCTTTACCTATACCTATACCTATACCTATACCGATACCAATACCTATACCATCCTATACCTAAACCTATACCTATACCTATACCTCTACCTATACCGATACCTATACCTATACATATGCGTCTACAAACATGTACAGGTATGCATGTATGCACATGCACATATACACACGACATACATACAAACAAGCACATGTGCCTCCCATATTTGTGTGTGTATATGTATATAGATATATAGATATAGATATGTCTATATGTATATACATTATTGTGTGTGTTTGTATATTGTGGAGACACTTAATGACTTCGGCTGCATAAACTTTGCAACAATGAAGCATAGCGCTCACACTCGCGGCTGGGACGCATACCTAGTATGGCGATATAATGGGGTTCCCATTTACGAGTCAAGTGAGCAGCTGCAACCCTCACACACTGTTCAACCTTGTTGTCCACTTGTCCCGTATGGGGTGAGGGGTCCGGATGATCTTACGATATCTTACGAGCAATTACCACAGCTGATTCGTGTCAGCGTTGAAACAATACTTCATCATGCGGGGGTCTTCACATGTCTAGTCACATGCACCACCAAAAACAACCCCATGGCAAAGCAACTTTTGCTACAAACCAGGGCGTCATGCCTTCCAAACATAACCACGCTCTGAATTACCAAGGCCGACACAGAAGTAGCCTGGCGGGCAGCAGTAATCCCAGCCTCGATTTGTACATTGAAGGCAAATGTTTGCGTATCAGGGTTCGGTTGCAGCAACGAACACACCTTGCATGCGAAAAGACTTGGGCAAGCGCATTTATCCACCATCGCGTTGTCACAGGCATCTAACGTGCTTCCTGGCGATAGACCTACATTACATGTTATCGCTACGACTGGCGCATGGTATGACGTTATTAATCTCAAGGACGTTTGTTCCAAATAATGGTTCCCAGCTGTCTCGACCTGGTCAAAGATGTTCAGAAAACCCTATTCCTCATGCGAAACTTGTTTGACACCGTCTGCTCTAGGCTTGCTGGACAACCACACAAAAAAATGAACAAAAGGACTGGCATGGATTTACAGTCAAGCCGCTGAGGCATGGCAGGTTCTCAGACCGCAATTCACCTCGATAGTTTTCCGTCCTTGGTTTGACTGAAACTCTCTGCTTGATCGCTGGAAATCCTAATTGCGATGTGGCCACGCACTATCACGCACTGAACGGTTTTTAACCCCCATGCTGAAACTCAACATGTTTTGTTACCGGCAAATGGACATAGAACCCCACGCGCATAAAAACCCTTCATCAAAAGCGTCTGCGGACCTGACATGCTGGGTAGCCGACAATTGATCCATGAATTGCTCGAAAACGAAGGCGAAGGTGAACGCTGTTATTGCTGTTGCCAAACACATTCCTGGCCCAGAAGCTTGTCCGTCAACGCCCCGCCAACACTCCGCATTGCAAAGTTGAACGGTCTCGCAGCTGAAGTAGTTTTAAGCTGGCTCAAGGCAGTGATGTGCAACCGCCACATGAAGCCACTGAATGTGCACCTACTAAAGGCTCACAAAGGGTTGTTGCTTCCCACTCACAAAATTCACAACCTGTCACTGTCTGCTGCTCCCTTCCCAGCCTGTCAGGAAAATCTGAATGACAGCCCTGCTGCTACACCGCTTCGCCATGTCGTCAACGTTGTCAGGCAGAGCCTGTGCAAGCCGGCATATTCGGCAGCGACAACGCCGAAACATCCACTGAGAAAACATCACACTCCCACAATTCCTTGTGCAAAAGCATTACCGGAACGCAATGGGCGGTGTGAATGCTTCGACTGCCAAAGTTCAACCCGCAGCTGTGCCGGCAGCAACAAATTGGCAAAAGCCTGCTGCAATTCGACTCAACAAAAATGTGCTCCCACAGCTGGCAACCACCTCTCGTGGAAACGATTCCCAGGATTGACCCCACCACCCCTACCTACGCTTGAGCCGAAACCATCTTTGCCCAAGCGCAAAACAGCGCAAATGATTTTGCTGATGCTTAACGTTCGACAGCTTCGATGCCAACATGCTGGCGGAAGGAAAATACCCTGTGATTAATTATGCTCGGCAAATGCAGGGACAGGGAGGCGGAAATGCATGCGAGTGTGAATTGGCCTGTGCACCGCAACCTTTCCTAAATTATTGGAAAGGCCGTCGTTTCCTTCACTCCTTCTTCAGCGGCACCCTTGTTTTGCGTTTTGGCGTGGAGCCTTTCCAGGTGCAGGCACAAAACGATGCTCTCACATGGAACGTGTTCGCGTTGGGGCCCGGCCCAGACTCGCGTTTCTGCATCGAGCGTCCTCAAACCTTGGCTAAGGATCGGATTTTTGCATGGGGCATCAGGATGCATCAGAAAATTTGCGGTTTGGAATTGAAGCGTCCTCAATTTTTGATAGGGGTCTGGTGGAGGGCGGGGGCGAGTGCCAGTTGCAAAAAAAATCCGGAAAAAAAAATGGCGGTTCTGAACCCTAACATCTTAAACCCTACGCCCGGCAAAGCTCCATCCCAAACCCTAAAAGCTAGAATCCTAAACCGTAGCTCCACAAACCCAAGCCCTAACTCTAGAATCTTACGCTAGAACTCCTAGAATCCTACACGCCCCGGTGCCGGGCGGAGTGTGCATGTTCTGGGGCTCTAGCCTTCGGATTCAAGAGATACGGTGAGGATTCTGGGGTTTAGGGTTTAGAATATCGGGGAAAAGAACCGCCATGCAAGATCATGTTGTTTTACCCCGGTGCCGGGGGCAACTTGCCCCTAGCAGATTCACAACACACACGCACACACACCACAAAACACAAGACAAAACAAAAACATACAAAAACTGTTAACGTTCTGTGTGGCTGCATTCCTCCTGCCCAAGACCTACCCCAACGAGCAGCGAGTAAGCAATCTCTTTTTTTTTTGTGGGTTGCTCTGAGTGTAGCTATCAGAGGCCTTGGAGGCAGGAAGGTCTCAAGCCTCTCCGTCCGTCCGTTATGCCCGGGTTTGCTCCTGTTTGGAAAATTCTGGTCTGAGCTTCCTCCCTGACAGGTCAAGGCTGTGACCTGATGCTTGCCCAAAAGGTTGAGGCAGAGGCTGACCACGTGGCCACTGGCTTGCGGAAGGCAGGGCTAGAGCGAGAACGCAGTAGTAAACAGAGCTGCAAGGCAGACATTTTGCTCGACCTGTTTTGCTCGTCCGCAGCTGTCACTTAGAGATTTCTACAAAATGTCCTTTCACTTGGCATTGGAGGGATGCAACGTGATGGCTTCGGGCTGACGTTCTTCTTCCTTGACATGTGGGATACAAGGAGGGCTACTGAGCGTGCTTGCGACCAGGAAGTTGCCCTTTCTCCATCGAAGTGCAAAGGTTGCAGTTGTTTTTGTTTTCTCCGTCGCGCTGTTTTGCACCTGCCATATTGGGTCCCTGGATCGGCAAATTTGTTCGGGCGGCTCATGTGTTGTGGACCGCTTGTGCAGATGACATGTTCTTGCGACTCATTATTTCCACGCGCGCAGTGCGAAATGCGCACTCCGCCATGGTTGCACATGTGTCCTTTGTTGCGGGCATTTGCCAAGCGCAAAGGTCCCTACTACATGGCATTGAACCACATAGTGTTTCTTGTGAGCCCAATGATGCCTGAGCATTTTGAACATAATCCGTTTCGATCTTTGACCGTTTCAAGTAGTTTCAATCAACTCCTGACCGCCAAACAATGGTTTCAGGACTGCTGCTGCTGCTGCTGCTGCTGTGGCATGTGTGCGCTGGACATGGATGCGGATGTGCCTCCACGAAGATTGATGGGCCTCTTTGCAGATATGTGTTCGGCGCAGCATCCGTGTTCTGTGCAGCGTGGAGTGCGCGTGCTGCGCACCGAGACGGGCTATCGGGCCTTGGGCGCATGCAATTCCAAATGTTCCCCCCACACACTGCGGTATGCTGCGGTGTGGAATCCGCAGGAACAAACCTTTGCATGTCGACGCACATGCGGCTACGTCACACGTCCTCAGTGCGGACATGCGCATGTGTGCGGTTTGTCCGGGCCCTTAGGGTTGGGCTCCTTTTTTGTATTCTTTTCCTAATTTTGGAATGTTTAAAAAAAATCTGGACCATGAGCGATGCCAAAACCCTCTGGCTGAGCCTGCTTCGAGACCCTGGCACAGCTAGCCCTCCTGCACATTGCCCCATTAGCGTGTCCAAACGACGGATGGATGTATCACCCAGCAAGGACTGGTGAAATATGCGCATGTTTTTGCGGCAAAACGATCGGTGTGCTTCCCCCATTTCCCGCATGCCTGGAAGACAACACCCAGACAACAGATGTAACAGTATTCGGTAACAACGGTACGTCCAAACCCTGACGGGGAGAATTTGCGGCCTTAATGTGGAGCCTGCCGGGGCGGGCGGTGCATAGTACTCAGACCCCTCGCCGTCCTCAGTGGTGGGATTGTGAGTGTCACGACGTCATGGCTTCACGAAATGCAGCTCATCGGCTGTGGCGACGTGAGCGTACGCCTGAACCCCCTTGCACCAAGAAGATCAGGTTTCATCACCTTGTGCCTCGCAAGAAGGCACAATTTTGGAATATAAGGCTCAATGCACGGGAACAGCTTGCCTGTGACAATCCCGGCAAGGCTGCGCAAAACACACGTCAGCAGATGCGCGGCGGCGCGTGTTGCCGTGTGGCATGCGCTCGTCGGACCCTCCTGGCGGCCTGGTTGAAATGTCCTGCCTGCTTAGATGCCTGGCGTGTTCACTTCCGCACTGTGCCGCTAGACGCTTTTCCAGCTGTATTGAAGCGCCCTGACTCGCAAGCGCCCGAAGTTGAGATCACGGTGCAGTGGCTGCGGGCTTCCATGCTTGCCAACGTAGGCGACATAGATTTTCCCTTTTCGGAGGCCGAGTTGGCTCAAGTGCTGCAAGAACTTCCCTGTGACCGTTCCCTTGGTCCAGAGTGAAGCATTCCGCATTGAGGATCCAAGTTTGCGTTCCTCGTTGTTGGTATTTTTCGGGCTTGTTCGGTCTTGGTCGATCGTTCCCACCGTGTGGCGCTCTGCTATAATTGCCCCTTTTCACAAGGGGTGGCCTTGGTGACCCGTTCACGAACTATCGGCCAATCACAAGCTGGGTTCCGGTGGGGGGCCGAGGAACAAATGTACACTTTGGCAAAAACTCTTCGTCATGCCGGTCGTCGCACGTTTTGTGCGTTCGTTGATGTACGTAAAGCATGTCCTTTTGAAACTGGCTTCTTTTGGGGTCACAGGTGGCTTTTGGTCAGTAATCGCAGATTTGATCACCAATGGCGCGTTGTTTGTGAACCGTTCTTTCTCGGAGCCTTGGTCGGAGCAGGCTGGGGTTAGGCAAGGAAGTGTTTTGGGCCCTCTCTTGTTCAAGTTTTTGTTTGACGGTGTTGCGGGGGCCGTGCGTGCTGCTTGCCCTGGCGCCGCGCTAGGCATTGGGCCCAATGCGCCGCGGGTTACCTGCTGTTGTACGCTGACGACCTCGTCATCTTTGCTGACAACTCCTCAGATTTGCAAAATGACCAGCCATTGGTGCTTGGGACACGCAGTGGCGGCTCTCTTTTGGCATTGGCCCAGATAGGACTGCTAGTGGGTTCGGGCACGCCTAACTTCTGGTTCTACCTTCAGGGTTCCCTCGTGCCATGCGTTAGCCACTACTGTTACTTGGGGGTGGTGTTTCAATGCTCTAGAAAGTGGTAAAACCATGCTGCCCAACGTATTGACAGGAGGACCGGTAAGTTTCATCCATGTTTGGGCTGGGCAACCGAGGTTTGTGCACCAACTTTCACACTAGCCTCTGCCGTCTCTATTGTGCGGCTCTCAATTCTTAAATGAACCATCCGTCCGCCTGCTGGATAACAAAATGCGGCAATTCGGACGGTGCCCGTGGAGCTGCTATTGTGGGTGAGCTAGGATGGTGCCCTGTGCCACAGGAAACACGCGAGAAAGTAGTTCTGAGGCACTCCTCTTTTTTGCCCACCCCCCCGCACTACTATTACTCTCGCTTGTCTTTTGTAGTTCTACCAAAGAAGAAGCAATAGTGGTAGTGGTGGCCGTCCTTTC